CTATGATCGTGTCTTTGCAAATGAAATGTCTGTGTTTAGAAGAGTCAATGTGATTAAAAATGCAGCCGGGAATTAATTATCCAGTGTCTTTCCCCTGTCTTAACATGTAGTAAATACACAATAATTAGTTGTTCACGGACTGGCCAGCCATCAGGAAGCTGTTCTCCCGGAGGAGAGGAAGTGTCTACTTCACCTCAGCCCCTGGTAGGGTGGACCTGTATCATGGGTAAGTTTGTCACCTAGATTGGCTTGGGAGCCAGCTAGAGGATTAGGAAAGCACACTTCTGTGTGTGTCTGGGTGGCCCACAGAGGCTTGAGTTTAGGGTCCGTCATTGGTCCTTGGCTCCTTCCTTTCTGGCACTGTTACCTTGTTTTGTTCCCCTACCACTATGAACTGAACATATTATTTCTTTCTTGGAGCCAGCAGTCATGGACTGAAACTTCTGAAACCACAGGCTAAATAAACACGGCCTATAAGTTTCAGGTATCAGATATTTGACCCAGTCATGGGAAAGCTGACATTAAAACCTGGCCTAAAGCAGAAAACAGCTATTATTTACTAGATAAGTGAAAAGAAAGCTAAGAAGACTTTGACTCCTAATGGAAATTTCCCAGGTCTGCATGAGAAAGTATCTCTTCTTCTCAAACTTATATTTCCTATAAGAACATTTAAGATCTTTCCTTACAGATACATGTATTTATGCCTCATTTCTGTTACTATAGAACCTTTTAAGTCTTGAGAACAAAGTTTATTCCCTTTGTGTAATTTATTACAATGTAACAGAAAATGGAAAGAAAAAAATTAAAGCTAATACTAATTCATTGAAACACTTTGTAAATTCAGCAGAATTATATTATTATTAATTTTTATGCTTAAAATAAACACCACTTACCTGCTTTAAGTTATTTGGTAGCAAATCGCTGGACTGTAATATGCCTTGCTATACTACCTTCAGGGCTGGTGTTCCTGTTTGCTTGGCTATGTCCTAGTAAAGAGCAGTGAACACAGAAAGCTGCCAAACATTTTCTAGGTTGTTTATTCTGTTTGTAAATAGAAAGTGTGTAATATTTAACAAGATGTAATCATTTGAAAACTGTTTGAAGATCTATGCAGAATGAAAGAACTGAAAGAGAGAACAGGAAAATTAATGCAATCCTTAAGTGCTTAATGACCCCATTCATTGAAAGATAGGTGAGACTGAAAAAATTAAACAGAGGAAGTAATGGCCTTGGAGCCATTAACTTATTCCAGGAGTATTGCTAACATTTACCAGGTGATTTTCTTCTGGACTGAGTGTTGAGAATCAAACTACTTTAACACAGTCATTCTTGAGTCTACCCAATCATAAGCATCTCTTGGAAAGGTTTTGAACAATATAGATCCTATAATCTTTATATTCCATAACCAGACTTTTCAGTGTGGGACAAGGCATAAAGGATTTTTAAAAGGTTGCCAGGTTTTTGTTTTTGTTTTTGTTTTTTTTTAATGAAAGCTGATCAAGTTCAGGCATTGTTTTAGAACTCAGTCTTGGGAATACTGGCACTTTGGGATGGCCAATTTTAGAGAGTGTCCCATGTGTTGTAGGATGGCTAGAAACACCATTGGTCTCTCTCCCTGACCGGCAGCACCTACTTCCTTTGAGTTGTATGAAGAAAAGTGTCCCTAGACATTCCCAGATGCCTCTGGGGATAAAGTCATCACCCGTTGAGAATTTTTGCAATGCTGTCAGATGGAATTTGCTGCAATAAGGGCTGTGCCACAGGCAGCGTAATTCTGAGCAATCAAAATGGGCCTCGTGCGACTAAGAGTGAAATTTTAAATTTTATTTTGATTAATTTAATTTTACAGACTGTATGTGATTAGTCATCATTGTACCGGGCAGCATAGCTTTACAAGATCCAGATCAGACCTTAGAAATCCATATAATTTCCCCCTGAGCATTTCTGAGAAGTGTCATACAACACTGGCTGACATGAATAGGAAATCTATCTACTTTCCTGTCTGAACCAGAAAAAAAATCCTAGGGCTCTATGATCAAAGTCTTTGTTTTCTAAGGATTGTCTAGGAAAAAAAATTTTTTTTTTTTTTTTTTTTTTTTGGTTTTTTGAGACAGGGTCTCACTAGTTGAGACTGACCTGGAACTCACTATGTAGCCCAGGCTGGTCTTGATCTCACAGCGATCCTCCTGCCTCAGCCTCCCAAGTGCTGGGATTACAGGCATGTGCCACCATGCCCGCTTTAGGAAATATTTTTTATCATCCTTGATATCTGGAGCATCAGAGTTAAACAATCTAGCTGGAGCCTGCCCTTTCACTCCCAATCATGATTTCCTTTTACATATAATCCTCAATATTTTCTGTGGAAAAGTTGTCACTTTTGCCTATCTGTTCTCATTTCTTAACAGGTTAGTATACAATTACCATGTGACCCAACAATTTCCCTCCTAGTATCCACCCACAAGAAATGAAAGTTTAGGTCCACACAAACACTGGTACACAAATGTTGAGTAGCATTATTTAATAATAATCAAAAAGTAGGAATAACCCAAATATCCATCAAAGCATGTATTCTCTACACAATGGACAATTACTTGGCAATAAAAAAGAAACTACTGATAGAACACAAAGCTACCTTTGAAATGACATACTAAGTGGGGTGAAGGGAGAGTGGGGACAAGGGGAAAAAATGAGAACCAAGACCTGGCATGTAAAGGTACAAGATCCCAGTAATGAATGTAACTGTACTGTCTACCTAGAATGTACCAATAAATTAAATTTTTTAAAAAACGACATACTAGGGGCTGGGGATTTAGCTCAGTGGTTCTGCTGCCTGCCTTGCAAGCGCAAGGACCTGAGTTCAATCCCCGGTACAAAAAGAAAAAAAAAAAAAGGCATACTAAATGAAAAAAGTCAATGGCAAAAGATCAAAAGATCACATATTACACAATTCCATTTACATGAAGGGTCCAGAATAGGAAAATCTATAGAGATAAGAAGTAGATTTATGGGTGTTGAGGGCTAGGGTGAATGTTGAGATTTACTGTGACACAGATCTGTTGGGTACAGTTTTTCTTTTGGAAGTGACGAAGACATTTTGAAATTAAATTCTGGTAATAGTTGTACAGCTCTGTGATTATGCCAAACACCACTTAATTGAATGCCTAATTGGATAGGTTTTCTAGTAAGTGAATTGTATCTCAAGGAAGCTGTTTCAAAAATTTGTTCATATAATCCATGACATTAACAGGTCCGATAAGAAAATCCAACTGACCGTATCAGTTGGTGCAAAGTATTTATTTCTGACCTGGAAATAGTTTTTTAAAAAGTTTTTTAAAGTATTCTTCCAAAGCAGTCTGTACTGCCTACCACTGCCAAAATAATCATTTCCAAAATAATTGAACTGATGCTGCATTTTATCCAGACTTGGGCTAGAAATCCTTAAGAATGGCCCCTTACTCAACAAAATCACTCCCCTCTAATGGGTATAAGATGTTGAGGTAAACGTAAGAATGTGCAAGACACCCCTGGGATGATCCAGCCTGCAAATCAGGGGGTCCATCTTTGTAATTCCTGATTCCTTTCAGCATCTGCTTTTGAGAGGAATAATAGACACATGAACACTGCCATTGAGAAATGATAGAAGGAAATGAAGTTTCCAATATCCATCCGCATTTGGTCATGAGTCAAACTGGCCAGATCCTGGTCAGACCCTTAGAGTGGATAAGAACCATCCTAAGCTAAGGCACAGAAACAGCTCTGTAAAGGCATTAGAAGATGACTTTCACTTGTAGGACCTGAGCTCTCCATGCAGCTCCAAAGGGAGTCCATTCTCCAATTTTAATCTCACTCAACTCAGATAACTTTGTAGGAAATCAATATTTTTTAGGTTTTTGTTATAAAGTGGGACTACCTACTGGAAATATTGGTCAGGCTCAGACTGCTTGTGCACTGACTACTCAGGAAATCTTGAACTGTATAAAAGGCAGGGAGGGGGAAACAGGACAAGTCAAGAGAAGTGAAGTAAACCAGAAAGAAAAAATCTGTATCAAAAGCCATTATGCTTTTGTCTTTCAGAGGAAATAATGTCTCCAGAATTTAAACAGTTTTGGTGGCTAGAAAGATCTATGGTAGAATTAAGTGAGAGGCATGGTTTGAAAGACAAGAAAGAACTGCCTTGTTAAAAACCATGTAGAAAGGAGTATTAATCCAGCAGACAGGGTATTGAAACCACTTAAATACAGTGACACTCTATAGATTACAACAATTTCTTATATATTTCTTAAAGAACTACAACTTAAAAGGCTTTGAAGTTTCCCAACACAAAGAAATGGTAAGTGCTTAAGAAAACTGAAATGTTATTTTGCCCTGGTTTGATCATTACATATTGTACACAGGTACTGAATTATCACACTGAACCCCATAAGGATGTACAATTTTTAAAAAATAATTAAAAATGACATCAAGCATTGGCTCTTTTTTAAACTTTCTTCCATTCACCAAGGATGCAGATGGTTACAACAGAGAATTTATGAAAAGCGAAAGGTCCTTCAGAGTGGTTCTGGAAAGAGTCTGATTTATGTGGAAGGCAACAGTCATTTTCTAAACAAGATGTGCCAAGTGTGCAGAGTTTCTTGTCACTAGACAGAGTGGTGGCCGTCTCTAACCCTCACCTTCTGTCTGAATAGAGAGTTCTGAGATTTCTCCCCAACATACACTTAGAGAGCACTTAAATTGACTTTTTAAAATTGCTACTTTTTGTCTGCTTTCCCACTAGATGGTAAACTTCTCAAGAATAAAACAGAGCTGGGGCTTATTGTTGTCATTTGAATCGCTTTCGTTTTTGAGGATTTCTTATCAAAATAGAAGAAGGCAATACCTTTCCATCTCTGGTGGCAACATTTTCAAGTGTCGGTTAGGTCAACTGGCACCTTCCCAAACCAGGTAACTCAAAGGTCAGCTGCACACCAGGACAGGGCCTCGAGCTCTGTGGTAAATCGCGCTGTACTGTCAGACCCAGCTTCACTAGTTTGGAGGCTGCACTCAGATGGACTCCTTACTCATTTGCTCGCTACCATGCTTTCAGTGTCATTATGCTGGCTTTAAATGAAATTTGTCCCACGTAGTGTTGTTTAGTAGACTTCAGACGTCTGAACCACGTTCCCCCTTTGGGGTACCCCCTTAAGATCTGCCTGTTATTCCAGTCGTGTTTACGTGACACGCTACAGAAACCAACGGCTTCGTGACACCCGCAGGGTGTGGGCAAAGTCATGCTCCTTACCTGTTGCCTACCTGCATGGGAGGAGTGAGTGTGGGAGGGCAGGGCGACTGAGCCATGGGAGATTCTGATCTATATCTCGGTCCTGGACCTGGATCCTGGGAATTAGGTAAGAAATTGTATGACGTGTATTCCAGATCCCTGGACCTAATCCCGGCACTTGTCCTCTTTCTTTGTAACCCATGCTTTCTCTGACCAGACCCTCCAGTCGTGAGGCTATGATGGATTGTCTGGACAAGAAGGGTGTTTCCATCAAATCTTCACATTATGGCATTTCCACTTGCACTGGCTTAGGAAATAGCATAACAGACCGGGTTTCTGTGTTCCTAGGCTGCCTGACTCAGTGCAGACACCGTCTCAGTCTGAAAAAAAACAGGAAAACCTAAAGTCTGAGTGTCCCCAGGCAGACGGGCCTATTTGGGTCTTTGTCACCAGCACCGTGCACTGTAAGAAGTCCTTCGGGCCTGCTGCCACTGCTGCCATCCCCAGGCTCCTGGTGAGAGAGAAGGTGGACAGAAACATACAGTTTTAATTTCTGAACACACACACAAGATGGACTTTGGATTGAAAAATCTGTATCTGTTGAGACCTTTGGCCGGGTTATAAATCTGTGTGCCGCGTGGCACAGGTGTCCCTAACTGGAACACAGAACAAAGAGCATTCTGCTTTAGTCACACAGAGCAGAACACTGGAGGCAGAAGTACCATGTGTTGACACCACAGGCTCCCGTCCTGGGGACGCCTACTCCACTTCAGCTCCCGGATCAGGCTGCACAGAGAGCTCCAGCTCCAAATCTCGGTTTTGGATGGAAAACTAGTATGGAAATCATCTCCCAGGACGTAGAAACCTACTTCTCTTTTTTATTAGCTCATGTTTGCAGTGCACAATGATTACATTTATTCTAGGAGGTTGGTACATGTACATAACCAATCTCACTTCCTCTTGTTTTTGGTCCCTTACTCCTATTCCTCCCTCCCTGCTCTCTCCAAACCTTGGGCCTCTTTCCTCTTGCAAAAGCTCCGTTTTTGTCATTATTTTCCCTTCCGTTCTTTTTAAAATCCACTTTTAACAGATTTGTCAGAGTATGAAACCTCGAAGTAATCAACAACTTCTAAGCTAGTGCTGACTTCACTGAACAGCTGAGGAACTGATAAAAAGGCAAGCTCAGGGCACCCAATAACTCCCACTGAATAGCACACTTCCATTTATTTCATCTCATTGTAGAGCACTGTAATGTGTATAAAATAATTGAAATATTTTCATAATTCTACCGAAAAACATTGTTTACCATGTTCTTTTGTGATTAACGGTAAAATTAACCACTTAAAACTTATAAAATGAAAAAAAATCATCTGTTCCTACTTCTTATTTTTAAATCCAGTTTTACAACTGATCACACAAAACATCAAATGGAGACCTTGTTGGAGAAGGCCAGTGTGGTGAATGAAATGGATGTGAAAAGTCTGAAATCAAGTCAGCCGCGTGGAAGTTTGCACAACACAAAAGTCTTCTTTGTGAGGATATAAGAAAATGGAAAGATATCCCTTGCTCCTGGGGAGGAAGAATCAACATAGTGAAAAACGGCTATCCTACCAACACTGCTATACAGATTCAAGGCAATGCCAACTGAAATTCCAACACTGTATTTCACAGAACTAGAAAAAAGAATCCAAAAATTCATTTGGAACCAGAAGAGACCTAGAATAGCAAAAGCCATCCCAGGCAACAGACCCATGGCAGTGGGTATAACAATTCCCAATTTGAAACTATACTACAAAGCCGCTGTGATAAAAACAGCATGGTATTGGCAAAGAAACTGACCTGAGGATCAGTGGAACAGATTGGAAGACACAAAAACAACTCCAGATGTACTCAGCTACGTCATCTTTGACAAAGGAGCTGACCATCCTCAGTGGAGGAAAGATAGCCTCGTTAATAAATGGTGTTGGGAAAACTGGATCTCAAGATTAAAACTGGACCCTTATCTTTCACCATGCACTAAATTAAAATCCAAGTGGATTAAAGATCTCAATATTAAAACAGAAACACTAAACTTGCTGGAAGATAAGTTAGGCAGAGCTCTTGAAGACATTGGCATAGGAAAATACTTTATGAACAAATCCTCAGTAGCATGGGAACTAGCAGAAAGAATCAACAACTGGGATCTCATCTTATTAAAAAGCTTCTGCACTGAAAAAGAAACCATCAACATAACTAAGAGACAACCTACAAGTGGGAAAAAATTTTTACCAGCTGCTCCTCAGACAAAGGACTATTATCTAGAATATATAAAGAACTCAAAATAATCAGCCCCCCCGAATATAAAGACCCAATTCAGAAATGGGCATCCGAAATGAACAGACATTTCTCAGACAAAGAAGTAAAAGCAGCAAGTACATATATGAAATAATGTTCCACATCACTGGTCATTCGAGAGATGCAGATGAAAACAACACTGAGATTGCACCTCACCCCACAAAGAATGACTGCTATCAAGAAATCAAACAATAACAAATGTTGGAGGGGTTGTGGATAGAAAGGAACCCTTCTCCATTGTTGGTGGGAGTTCAGACTGGTGCAACTACTATGCAAATCAATATGGAGATACCTCAAAGAGCTAGGATTAGAGGTTCCATTTGACCCAGCCATCCCTCTGCTGGGTATCTTTCCAAAAGAATTAAAAGAATCATATCACAGTGATATATGCACACCTACGTTTATAGCGGCACAGTTTGTAATTGCTAAAACTTGGAAACAACCCATTTGTCCATCAGTTGGAGACTGGATGAAAAAGATGTGGTTTTTCTATAAAATGGAATACTCCTGAGCCATAAAGAATGAGAAATTAGATTCATTCATAGGAAATGGATACATACTGAGGATATACTCCTAAATGAAATAAATAAGTCACACATGTGTAAATACTGAATAGTTTCTATGGTGTGAAAAACTATAATGGTACATAAGATCCTAATAAGATAATTGACAATGTGAAATAGGAAGAAAAGGGCTAAAGGTGTAGGGAAAATGGGAAGGGTAGGCGAAAGGTAATAAGGGAAAAGAAAAAACATGAGAAAATGAAAAAATGGAAATAAAGTGTTTGTAAATGGGAAGGGAAGGAGGGGGTGAAGGAAGGGCAGGGACAAGGGGAAAAAATGAGAACCAAGACCTGTCATGTAAAGGTACAAGATCCCAATGATGAATATAACTGTACTGTATACCTAAAATGTAGCAATAAACTCACTGAGAAAAAACAAACAAACAAACAAACAGAAGTCTTCTTCGTGAGGTTCTGATGGAGTCAAGAAAATCCTGTCCTCCTGGTTGTCCAAAAGCAGCTATTGTCACTTGCAGAGCACAGCCTGTAATCAGTGGAGGGATTCCAGAGGTAGGTAACATTACCCCAGAGGTCTTATCACGGACACTGAGTTCAGGCAATTAAAACTGAGAGAAAATCATCAAGTAAGTATAAACAGAAGAATGATGGATTCTAAGGATTTCATTGATCGTGCACAGTCTAGGGCTGCCAAGTCTCCAGCCACCCTGCAGAAGGAAAATGATCCATCTGTGAGAAGTGTTTTCTAATAATATTCGATATTATCTGGGGTTAGAGGGCAGTTTGGACAAGAAAGAGGATGAGCTAAATGCTAAGCCAGGATCTGTCGCCCTTGACTCCATGTATTCTTTGAATTGATGTTGGGTTTGGAGTGATCTTCAGGTGTTTGTAAGTTCTGAAGGACCCAAAATGGCCATCTGAAGCCATGTATACTTATAAATATGGGCTGTTGGCTCCCTGAGCCTGGATTAATGTGTACACCTCTGCCTTTTCATGTAGCTTTACTTTGCATTATTTGATTTCCAACTCTGAAACTTCAATGAGAGAAAAGAAATTAACTCTTCCCTAGCTTCACTTTTGTCCTCTGCATAAGGATGGGCTACATGGAATCACCACTAAATTCCCTCCTCAACTATGCCCTCTATGCTGTGTGTTTCTGAAGACCAAGTGTGCTGAGCAGCTCTCCACCATCACTACAAACACCGGAGATCAGAGGGCTATTTTGTCTCTGTTTCGGAAGTGCCAGTCTATGGTCAGTTGGCTCCATTGCTTTAGGACCTGAAACAAGGAAGCCTGCTGTGGAAGGAGCACCCGACTCCAGGAAACCATTCTCCTTGCTTCCAGGAAGTAAAAGAGAGCAAGAAGAGGGCGGAGTTCCCACAATCCCCTTCTGGGCCCAACCCCAAGGGCCCAAGGACCACTCAGTGGTCATCCTAAAGACTCCACCACTTCCTGTTCTGGGGACCATGCCATTAACACCTAGACTTTGAGGAGCATTCCCCACCCAAACTACAGCAGGGAGGAAAAGTATTATCAGTATTCCAGATCCACAGTGCTTACTCATCAGAAAAGGTGAAGTGTTTCCTAAACAATGCTTTAGCCATTGCTCTCTATTGCTCTCTAAGCTGAATTCTTCACTAGTTATGTACTGTGTAGGAGGTTAGGGTCCCTGACAGGGGGCTTAAGAGAAAAAGAGGAGAAAGAAAGAGGATAAAGGTGGTAGGTAGTACTTTCAATTTTTTTTCAAATATTTGCTTATATTTTTATTTTCAGACATACAGGACTGATTACCACTTTCATTGGCATGGCATATTGCATTTTTAATTTTTTCAGCAAGCATTTCTGTTACAGCGTGTGTCTAGATGTCCCCCCAAAGCCGTGTGTGGTCACAGGTGGGGCTTTTTCAAAGGTGGCTGGATCTAGAGTGTGGGATGCTGGAATTGATTTCTGCGGCAATGCCGGGATCAAGGGCACTAGGATTAGGGTGTGAATGCTGCCCACCCTAAGTAGGCTGGATAAGATATAGGGCAAAGAGCTGTAGTCACCTTTCCCTTGCTTTGCTACTTTCTCCCCACCATGAACTGTTTCTTCTCTGCCATGCCTGGCTGCCACACTACCCTGCCTCAGAGCCAGCTGATTATGGACTGAGACCTCTATAAACTGTGAGCTAAATAAATCTTTCCTCCTTTAACTTTGGGTGTCAGGTATTTTGTGTTGGCAACAAGAAAAGTAACTGAGACAATTTCTTAAATTATTTCTAGAATAAGCTTCCTTAATTTCAACATTCTCTTGGAAATACCTATGAAGTACTTGGAATGCATATTAGCTTTGTTAAATGGTTTATTATTCATCCTTTTAAATACTGTGAGATGGGAAGTTTGGGGTTTTTCTTTAGAATGTGAGGAAACTAAAATACACAAATATTTAACACACAGAGGAAGAAGAGTTGGTCTTACAAGGCCACTAAGTAATACACCATTATGGTTCTGCAGGAGAGAAGAGGGCCTGCCCAGCATAAGCCGGCTATATGGACACCTAAGTTCCCTTTAGACCGCAGTAGGGCAGATATTTAACTAGTGGCAGAATCTAGATAAATACTCCGATGACTTCACTCTGCACTAGTTGTCCTTCTTCTGGTTTCGCTATATTAGAACAGCTAGCCTGTCCCCACTTTTGGTTCCTGCAATGACACCCATAGAGCTGGGGCATTGGAGCTGTCCACTTTCATCTCAGGCCAGAATTGGAATCCTTACATTTCCCCGGGAACAGAGTGAAATGAACTCAACAGCATTTCAGAAAGTCAGTCGCTCAAGGAATGGCCCAGTACCCCAGGACCGAGGCCGTGTGCACCTCTCACTGAGATCTTGGTGAACTCTGAAAATATCAGATAAGGATGAATGCTGCGCATTCTCTACAGATTAAGAATGATGGGGTGAGGAAAGCAAGATTTCCCCCTGCCCCAAAGAACAATTTTCTTCAGTGGTACAAATCCATTTGATAGAATCTATGTGGATTTGGAGAATTTGAAGAAATACATATATGTGACATCATCCAGTTTACCCTTCCTTTTAATAACTAATAAGGATTCACTGAATGATTTTCTGTGCCTTCAGACACTTACTAGGATGAAATCCAAACCATAGGATGTTTAGGAGTTGAATTATTTAAAAGTATCCTTCAGTAACCCATTCCAATACCTCCCTACTATCAACCACTCTATAAATATCTAACCTAATTTTTTTCTGCTACCTATCTAGCTGTTTATTTTCTTTGACCTCTTGAGAAACATGGGAGAAGAGAAGGGTCCCCTTTTCTGAAGCCCTCTCTTGTGTGTGTGGCCTTTTCCTGTGACTCAGAGTGAACAGAGTGCAAGCGGAAGATGTTAAAAAATAACATCATGTAATTCTACAAAAAAAATAAATAAAACAATCAGGGATAAAGTTATTGCTCTGACTTTCCCACACATTAACTCTGTGACCTTGAACAAATTCATAAACTTCAATTTATCCTTTTGTAATACAGACATAGCATTTAAACCAATTATTGTAAAGCATTGGGAAGGTACAGAGAAACTGATTCATGTGTTGGTGGGATGTAAAATAGTGTAATAACTGTGGAGAACTGTATGGCAGTTCCTCAAAGAAACCGAATGCAGAATTGCCATAACACTCAGCAAATTCCACCTGTGTATGCATAACCAAGGAATGGAGAGCAAGAACTCCAGCGGAAATGTGGACCCAGTGTTCACAGCACCGCTATTTATAGCCCAAACAGGTGAAAATAACCCCAGTGTCCTGATAGGAAGATAAATAAGAGCTGCAGGCACATGTGTGTGACTCAGCCTGGAAAAGGCACACGATGCTGACACACGGCACTGCATGGATGAGCCTTGAGGGTACGGTGCCGAGTGAAAGGAATCAGACACGAAAGACAGGAACCGTGTGGTCCCATGGGAGACACCTCGAGGAGTCAAAAGCACAGAGACAACAGAAGGGTGATTCTCAGGGTCTGGGAGCAGGGTGGGGGGATTCAGTGGACAGAGTTTTAGTCTGGGTTGATGAAGAGGCCTAGAAGTAGACAGTGGTGATGGTAGCACCATGATGTCAGTGTACTTAATGCCACTGAATGCTACACTTCAGAATAATTAAAATGCTTTAAGACTGCAAATTTTATTACAACTGGGGGTTAAGAAAACAGGATCTAACTTTCCTCAGTAGCACAAAGATCTGTCTGCTACATATTTCCCACTCAGCAGAGGAGATGGGGGATTCAGATGTAAAAGAAAAAATAGGAGAGTTACTATTGAAGTCTGAACAGATACTTAAAACAAGCAGGACTAACAGAGGATAACTGTGGTCTGAGGCCACTCTGAGGGGTGAGAGCAGAGGGCTGCGAGTGTGCTGGCATGGAGTGATGAGAAGGCGTGGGCATGGCCGGCCGCCTGAGCCCAAACAGAGGACTTTGATGGGCAGGAGCAAAGCCTCAATAACTCACATCAAGGAAGCACGAGCCAAGCAACTACTGTTCTTCTCCCCATCTTGAAACAGCTATTTTCCTCCCAATTCCAACTGGAACTCCAGGGATCCCAAGCAATATTCATAGTGCGCCTTTTATACTGCACAGCACCTACACATCAAGCAACTGCTCCAAAAGCTACAGACGGGACATTCAAATACCTGCTGGAAACTGGGAGGGATGGCCAAGAGGGAAATGCTGGGCTGGATACTGATGGACAAGTTATGTGGGATCAGTGGAAGTGAGTCCCCCATCAGACAGTACTCAGTTCCTGCTCAGTTAACGCAGCTGGATCCCAGGACAATGCTGCTACAGTGTTGCTGTAAAGGTGTGACAAAGGTGGAGTCCTGCTTCAGCAGGCAGAAAGAGATCATGCGGGTAGATTTGATGAAGAGCTCTGGCTGGATGATTCAGTAACAAAACACATGAATATCAGTGACAGACAGATGAGCGTTCAAATCCCAATTCTATCACTGCCTTGTGAATTTCAAGTTTTCCCTTCTCTTAGCTTTTCATGTGGACAGTAATGTCTCCTACATCAGTGGGTTTGGGACATGATGACAATTTATATATAGCATTGCTCGTACAGAAAGGGCACTATAATAATAAGAAAATTAGCGTAACACTTTCAATGGGGCCATCTATGATTGCTGGTAGACGGTAATAAAAACTGCTAACATACCTAGCACCAATATTAAGGCCCAGTATTAGTCTAAGTTTTTTAAACTGTGAACTCTTAGGAGATGGTTATTATATTTGAAGAAACTGAAGTACAGAAGTGAAGACATCTGCCTAATGTCACAAAGAATGTAATGACTCTTGCTGAAATACATGTTGTGAGCTGTGATCATGTGCAGTAATGGAGAGACTTAGCGACTTTCACACTAATAAATGAAATGATTAGAGAAGACAAAAGAAACTATCTTTAAGTCCCTGTGGCTGTGCTGGGCGTATAGCTCAAGAGTAGAGTGTCTGCTGAGAACACATGAGGACCCAAGTTCAATCCCCAGCACCAACATAAAATAAAATACCTAGGACAAATCATTAAAGGTTTATAATAATCATTTTAAATTTCTAGCCAGGACTAGTTCCATAGATAAAGACAATGAAACATAAATCATCACATCAAATTAATAATACACTTCATTTTATACATATGGTGAGTTATACGTTTAAAATGAAGTATACCAATTTCTATTGCTTAATGCACTCATATTTCGATAATTTTAGAATTCAAATGTTTCAATGTAGATATAGTTTGTTATAGACATTTTTCCAACTAATAGTTCAAAAGAAACAGATTACCTAAAAAAATGAACAGCACTCAAGATACAGTATTAGGAAAAATAAAATTAAAAAGCAGAAGAAAATAATTAATAAAAATAACACCAAAACTAAATTAGACAGCTGTTAAATCAATACTGACATTCTCTGTTCATAAATAAACCCTTAGAAACTTTGATCAAAAGCAGAGTACACAGCAGGTATTTAAAAAGGGATATAACTGTTTATATGAAAAATATTCTTAATAAAAGGAAGGGACACAGTACAAATTTTACAATCTAAATAAAGTGTAAATTAATGACAAAGGAAACTAAGGTTGATTCAACAAAGTTTGGAGAACATGAATGTGTCAATAACTATAGAAGAAATTAGAATTATAGTAAAAACTATATCCTTCACAAAACACTGAGCTCCCATGATTCGTGATGTATAAATTATTTAAGACCAAAGAGAAAGCTGAGAAACTTCTGTTTATATTTAGCATCAAAATGATAGGATAAAAAAGAAAACTGTAACCCAATAAAATATTTGAGTATACTTAGAGACATCATAAACAGAGTAAACCCAGCATTGTGTCCAATACCATGTCATGGTCTTATTTGTTAAACATAATTCTACTCTAAGGACTTGATTACTGTAATAATGATAATTTATTACACTGAGTGATTGAAGGAGATCTATGTGATATACTTGAAAGATGTTAATTTATAAAACAAAATGTAGCACTCATCTCTTATTAAAACAATAACAACAAAGCTTTTTTCCAAGTTAGAGATAGAAGCAAACTTCCTTAAGTCAGTATGGCATGTTCACTTGAAACCTAAAGCAAACTTACACTTTGCTCCTGTCTCACTTTGGGCAGACACCAAAGCAGCTTATTTCCTGCTTGTGTGCTAGCTCAGGGTGATCATCCTGGGTTAGCAGCAAGCGGCCTGCATGCATTCCTTCATGGAACTACTGTCCCTTGCATGTCAGGAGCCATTCCTGGGAACCTTTTCAGCTGGATGGAGGAGTCAGTACAAGTTCCGGGTTGGTAGGGGCCTGTCACAAGGGTCTTCTTGTGCTTCCCCCACTGGAAAGAACTAGGTCGCAGGGTTGCACATTCTCTTGAAGGACGCAAGAGGGGGACCCTGGCTGCAGGCACAAAGGAAGAGGAGGATGCCACTCCGGCTCTGTCCTTTCAGCTTCTCTCCCTGCCAAGGATTGAGGTGTGCCCTTTACGGGCTCTACTCCAAACCCCGTGCAGCTAAATGTCAATAACCTCATGTTGAAAGGTCTAAACATGGATGAAATCACAGAGGAAAATAACCAAATCTATATTATAATTGTCTGTTAAAGTTGCCCACTAGGATGTAGTATGAATAAAAATAGACTATTTAAATAATGTAATTGACAATTTTATGCTAGTAGAACTTACCTCCAGCAAAGAATACACGGTCTGCTCATTTATCCAGGTAACATTTGCAAAATATTAGTCCTACAAAAAGCCATAAAGAAGTTGTGAACACACACACACACACACACACGCACACACACATGAGCACAGTATATTAAAATTCAAAATTTCTAAAAATTGAAGCCAGGAATCTAGATTTTTTTAAGCCACTTCTAAATAATTCATTGATATAAGTATTGGCAAACTTGAAATTGCTAACTATTTAAAAGTAAATGAAAAATGACCCCACTCTTATATTACACAGTCTGTATAGTCAACTTTCTTAAATATATACTAAATAAACGGTTTTTAAAGAAAGAGGAAAGTTTAGTGATGACCTTAAATGATAAAGAAAATAATTTGTTATCCTCTGATAAGAATATCTTCATTATAGGAAAGTTTGCTTTAAAATGGAATTAAAATGGCAATGTTGGAAACAGTAACTATACAGAAAAATAGCTATTTAGGATGATTATATTCTAGAATCTCAGTTTGGAATTTTGTAAAGCTTTGTAATACTCAGTTATGTTCTAGTATTTCAAATGTATTCTCAAAAGAAGTGATAATCAATATTATAAAAGAGTTAAATTTAGTGATAAATTCCCAACCTAAAAGGAAAGCATTATATGAAAGGTTTTTGAACTAAAATAGGATGGTGGTAATTCTAATTTTACCTCTAGGAGTATATATAATCAAATTCTTCTGGCATAAGTACTTTTCTACCACTTCTTTTGTGCCTACTCAGTTCACTGAGACTCTATCTGTGGGTAAATAAATTTCTCATTGTGTGATAGTATTTGTATATAAATATTTTCATCAAATTAACAAGCAGGTGAAAACAAGTTAACAAGAAAAACTGAGGTGATAACTTCATTTAAGGGGAGGAAAAGGAGTCTTTTGCTCTTGATCTCTTGTATATTGAACTCACTTTCTGAAATGTTGGTGAAATGTACCTCTAATAGCAGAAATGCATGAATATTAGAATCAAACATGGATTTGTATCATGGAGTTAGAAAAGATAACGTCTGAAAGGTAATGTGAAGCCTTGAAATTTTTAATATTGGTGGGAAGTAAGAGATTGCATGGCTCTCAGTTGACCCCTTGATTTTACACTGAGAGGAGTGAGGTTCAAGAATCCCCAGGTGCTCATGAACCCTCCCCAGCACTGGGCCCAAATCCGCACCCACAGTGAGGACTCCGACTTATGGACAGTGCATAACCACAAGAGATTTGGGATGTGGTGAAAAGAACAGCATCATCATAACTGGGGGGATCTTACGTGGTGAGTTTGGAATCAGTCACGTGGAGGAGAGCCTCGTGGCCGCTTACAAGTCCTTCTAATGTGCCAGGTCTCAGGGCATCAGAGCCAGGACAAAGGAGCCCTGGAGGGAAGTGGTATGAAGGGAGAGAGGCAGGAACGGTGCTGGGAGCATCTTCAGTTATCCTTGCAGCCTTATCTTTGCTCCTGGTCATGCTGATCCGCTGTGTTCTGAAACACAGCCTTGAACTGGACCATCGCTCATAGCTCTGGTGACCAGGGCCACAATCCCCTTTGAGAGTAGAAGGGTAATAAATGATTGCATAGCACATGTCTCCTTCTTCTCAGAGTCAGCCACAGGTGCCCGGCCCTTTCTTAAATTTCAGAGACACAAAGACCGGAAATTGGGAGCTAATGTGTGCTCCTGTTAGAATTCTAAGCAGGAAATTTGTGGACTCTTGCTTTTAAGAATCCAAAGCTTCCTTTGGCTAATTGTTTAAATCATGCCTGGAATCCACTTAATACCATTCATTTTTTTCAAAACAAATCTCTTTTTAAGTTAAACTAACCTAAGTTGATTTCATGTTTTCAAACAAAATGATGTTGACTAGAGAATACTTAACAGACTATATAATATAAACTAGCCAACTATGCTTTGAGGACATTTTCCATTGAAGTGTAGCCTACCACATTTCCGCCATACACACACACACACACACACACACACACACACACACACACACACACACACCAGAAAGTCTGTAAGTATGTTACAAACTTCCAACTCACTTTCAGAAAAGCGCGTTTATCCAAAATAATGTCCAACAGCTGAACATCTGCTTTTCTCTTAACATTCTGTAGTTTTGAAGAAACATTTTTAGATATTTTTATTGCAACTATTATTATCATTATTACTCAAAAAAAAAAACCAGCACTCCTTCATGTTCCAAAGGTGTTATACCCAAAGGTGATGGGGAAATTGTTTCTGTTATTAGAGAAAAATCCTCCCTAATGGAGTAAAATTATAAGAGCACAGGTTTTTTACTAATCAGAGAGACAATGTTCAGCATGAAGCTTTGGAATTGCACCTTTAGTTCCAACCAATTTCAGTTCCCTCAGTTTCATCTCTGTGTTCACCACCCCTAGGGCAACAGGGATATTGAAAGCAGATTTCCTCCCTCAAGCTCTCTCCAAAATGTTGCTCATGATTTCCAAGGGACCAAAACCTGTCTGTACCAGTACTCACCATCCATCCATTTGACCAAGGATCCTGAGGCTTTTCTTAGTTTCTGAGTATAGTCCTAAGATCCTTCAACTCTTTCTCTATTCTGTGCCTCTCAAGATTGGGATGTAGGGAAAGCAGCCAGTAGTCAATACTAGTGTGAGGTGTTATCATGCACAATGTAAATGACAGGATTTGAATTTCATTTCAGGCATTCTGGTTCCAGATCCTTCACATTTTAGTATTCCGCTTTGAGATTATGAAACTGTTTGAAATTAGTGTGTTGACATACAAGCAGATTAATGAAATAGGAAGTAGTGAGGGAGACCAAACGTATGAGAGTTTTGTATACAATAAAAGTAGCCTTTCAAATCAATACAGAAAATGGATTCTTCAATAAATGGTGTTAGCAAAAAATAGCAAGGTTGGACTTCTCCTTATTCCTTATGCCAAAATAAACTTCAAGTTGATCCAAGAAGTAAATGTGAAAATTTGAAATCATAGAGGAGCTAGAAGAAACATGAAAGGAAATGTGAGTAGGGGACCTCAGCTTCAAGACCTTGTCTAACTCTAATTAGCTCTCAGAGGCCCCAGCTTTGAGCACCATCCTCTGAGAGTCAGGACTTCAACATATGAATTTAACACAGCACTCAGTTCATAACACCTCTACTGGAAAAGGCACAATTCTGGAAAAAAGAAAAAACGTTCACCTGGGATTTAGCTGTTGGAATAGATGGTAAGGAATATATTCCGGGTTTCCAAGTGAAAGCTGAGATTTCATTTTTAAATCAGAGAATATATTCCAGAACTTCTTTTTAAGCCCTCCAGCAGCAATGGGATGGTCTTATCAAGTACATAGTGGATACACCGTCCCCTTCAGAGGTCTGAAAAGAAACCATTTTCTCCCTGATGAGTGCGAGAGATAATAAAACTCTAGGGAAGGGAGTAGGGTCGAGTAGGCACAAACTCAAGTGGGCTTTGGGCACAGGATAGTTCACATAATGCTTAGTTAAAATTTCCCTTAGGGTTTCTTGGAAAACTATCCTGAAGGTGCAAACTCAGGAGGGATCTTTTATAACCTACCTTCATGCTGGTCTGATTTTAGTTGCCTCCGTAATATGCAAAGTTCTATGAAAAAGGCATTAGAAAATTTTCTCTAAATAAAATTCATTGTGTAAAAAAGACCTCAGAGAGTTTTCCTTAAAAACAATTTCTGTAAAAAGACTTACTGTAATTCCCATGTTCCAAGTTGTTTTCCAAATAATTATTCCAAACTTCACCTCACTCCTCGAGGCTCGTTTCTTCAGAAGATCACTTATGCAGCTGTGTCATGGGGAAAGTGACATCAAGACCTGAAATCAGCTTAGTGATTTTTGTCAGCGCTTTTCATATGTACCCCACATGCTCATGTCAACCTATAACTTTAACTCCTTTCCCAAATTCTAATACAAGGCAAACCTTAAAGTATCTCAAAACTGGTGTCTGTAGTTAACTGGCTCCCTTCTGGCTCCTTTGACGCTTTCTTCCTTAGCCACCTCCTTTACTTTTTCCCTAAGGTCACACTCTTTCCTTCTGGTCCTTTGTCTTCAGCATCTGACCGCAGCCCCACAACCAAACACTTGAAAGAGTGTTTCCTCTCCAGGACTCATCCTAGCTACTGTTAATTCCATAATCACCAAACTGAGGGCAGTTTCTCTGTACGACAATGGATCAAACTGCCAAATCTCGTGGACATTTTAAAATCAAATTTGCCTGCATCATAGAAATGCTTTAACTGACTACCCTAAAATAACACCACAAATTATAAGAAACCTGAAAAGGAAAATAGAACTAATAAATAAGTTCTGCAAGATTTCAGGACATCTGATCAATATATAAAAATCAACTTTATTCCTATAAACTACCAATGAACAACCAAAAATAAAAATAAGAAACTGGGCCAGGGATTTAGCTCAGTGGTTTTGCTGCCTGCTTTGCAAGCACAAGATCCCAAGTTCGATCCCTGGTACCAAAAAAATAAAAAATAAAAAATAAGAAAACCATTTCATTTATAATAATTATAAAAGAATAAAATATTTAGTAATAAATTTTTTTAAAGTTTAGTGTTTACATTTGAAAGCTCTAAGATACCACTGAAAGAAACAAAGAAAGAAGGTCTCAGTAAATAGAGTCAGAATACTTACATTGTTAACAGAGCTAGAATCCCAAAATTGACTACAGATTTGATGAGAATCACTTCAAAATCCTATCAGCCTTCTTCGAAGGAATTGACAAGCTGCCCTAAAATTCTTTGGAAATGCAACTGAGCCAGAACAGCTTATCATGAAAAAGAGTGATGGAATTGGAGGCCTCACACTTTCTAAACTTAGTACAAAGCCAATATAATCAACAGACTGCAGTACTGACATGAGAATAGACATACAGATCCATGGAATAGGATTGACAGCCCTCAGAGAAATCCTCACATTTATGTTATCTTTTTTCTTTAGCCAAGAGTACCAAAAGACTCAATGGAGAAAAAACAGTGTTTCCAAAACAAATTGTGCCAATATAACTGCAACCAAATGTAAAAAAGAAGACAGAACTTTAGGTTCTAGCCCTACATTTAAAAAGCTTGAAATCTTACAGTGTTTGGGGGAAACGTACAAAAGTAAAAATGAATGGCTGTTTATGACCCTCCAGGGGACTAAGGTTGTAGGATACATAGCGAGCACAAAATCTGAAGAAATAGTTGAATCCAGAGAGTCCCTGAGCCCTACTTACTGGGGCAGAAGTCATGGAGCCATCCATGAATTCACAGGAACATTTGGACACGCTGCACGTGGTCTAGTGTGAAAATGAGAAACTGCCAGGAGCTTCAGCCATATGAGAAAGTCCTGTGTGTTCGTGAGCATTACGTTCAGCGCCCTACCACATTTTCATAGTGAAGACCCAAAAAACGTTTCATGGCTACAGGTAGCAGGGGAAAAGCTGCCCTTTTGGAATTAGTTGTGAGCACTCTCCATAAACAAATCCTACTTAGGGTAAAGGCTTCACCGGAAGAAGCCCACTTTCCCACCTCCAGCACCCTCTTATCTGCCCAGCCTTCCCTAACTCGAGGAGGTAGACCAACACACTTGTAAAGACCAAATCTCAGGCACACTAAAAGAGTAAAATTCAGCCATAAGATTGCAGAATGCTTCCCATCATTAATATTTTACCACCACGCTACTGGTGCCATAATATAAACACATTCAGGAGTGAAAATGACAGATCGCTATCTCTCAGGAACATAGATCCTTTTATAAATATTAGAACTATAATCCTTTTGGAAATATTAGGAAACAAAAATCTAACAATATACAAAAAGAATTACAAAACATAACCAATGTAGAATTATTTCCACTATGCAAGCCTGATGCAACACATTTAAATCAATATAACCTGCCATATTGGCTAAAGAAGATAAATCATGATGTCAATTAATGCAGGGAAAGCACATGATAAAAACCAACAAGCGGCGATCACCCGGCGGCGTGCGAGTGAGCTCCCGGCCTGCGCGGGAGCTCCCGGCCTGCGCGACAATCTAGGCAAGTGATGCAACACATTTAAATCAATATACCCTGCCATATTGGCTAAAGAAGATAAATCATGATGTCAATTAATGCAGGGAAAGCACATGATAAAAACCAACAAGCGGCGATCACCCGGCGGCGTGCGAGTGAGAGCCCGGCCTGCGCGGGAGCTCCCGGCCTGCGCGACAACAGACCCAGGAAGGACCCAAGGACCCCAGAGGGGGTTTTTTTCAGCTGCCTGCCTACCTGCCTGTCTGCGATCACCCGGCGGCGTGCGAGTGAGCTCCCGGCCTGCGCGGGAGCTCCCGGCCTGCGCGACAACAGACCCAGGAAGGACCCAAGGACCCCAGAGGGGG